TCAGACAAAATAATTAATTACTCGAAAACTATTGTGAATTTCGCAAAATAGTATTTGATTTTTCTGTTCTGTTTAATCCGTTCTACTTTCCTACGATTTGTGTCAAGAAAGGTTTCGGACACCCTGTATGTGAGAGAGAGAGAGGGGGGAAGGAAGAGGAAGATGAAGGGGGAGAGGGGGAAGATAAGAAACAGAGAAAGAGAACTAAATGCAGTAAATATTAAACTATTAGAAGAAAAACAGTAAAAAAAATAAATACGGTGAGAATAAAAAAGTGAAAAAGAAAAAAGGAGATATACAGGGTGTCTCACACTCTCCTCCAGGCATTTTGTGGGGACGTAGAATGGGTTGATGTGAACATAAAAGTCCAATACCGTTTTGCAATATTCGCAATAATAGTCGAGATATTAATTAAAAAAGATTAAGGAAAAACGCACGCTGAATGATAGAGAACGGACCGCTCGAGTCACAGCGCGGCCCAGTAATAAAGCGCGCGAATGTCGCGGGCGGTGATTGGAAGATAATGCACCACTGCCTATTCTTATCTCGGCGCGGTGCGGCAAGACGTAGGAGCGCAGCGGTATACATATAGACAGTGGTGCATTGTCTTCCAATCATCGCGCGCGACATCCGCGCGCTATATTACTGGGCCGCACTGTGACTCGAGCCCACAAAATGCCCGGAGGAGAGTGTGAGACATCCTGTATATTACGATTACCGGCTTACCGACTCGTAATTTATTAAATATATTGTAGATGTCGGAATATAAATAATAAATAAATAATAAGAAATAAATAATAAAATATAATAAAATTAAATATGATAATATAAATAAAGAAAATACAATAATAAATAAATAAATATATAAGGAATAAATAATAAGAGAGAGAGGGAAAGAGTGAGAGACAGAGACACATTTTTTATAAAAATGAATTATTCTGAAATAAAATTTAACTCTTCGTATACACACTTATTTTTTCAACCTTCGCATACACACTGGGTGGTTGCCACCCATGACAATTTTCAAACAACTGTATCTTTTAAAATATTTATGCTCAAATTCTGAAAAAATTCATGGATTAACTTTAATGTTTATAGAAAGTATTTACATATTTTTGGTATTAAAATTTTTAACAAATTTCATATTAAAAAAAATTATTATATTTCGCGATTTTAAAAAAAAGATGTTTTTGCAAAAAAATTTGTAATTTTTAACTTGTAATTTTTATTATTTTTAAGTAAAAATTTAGCATTTTATTGTTGAAATGTTTATTTTTAAGGAAAAAATTGTCTCGTAAGTCATCTTTGGAAAAAATATATTTATTTTGAATATCAAAGTTCCATTTTCACTTCAGACGGCTGCCAGACGCTAACTAACGCTTATTTTGCTAGCAGAATAAAATCAAAGCATAGTTAAGATCCCAAACTACAATTGCGACACTAATTCCATTTATTACGGTACTTAAAGAGTACAGTGCGCTAAATTTTATAGATGGTAACCACCTAGTACATATATGGAGAATTAAAGAACCTGCTTTTTATGTACACCTAAATATTTACAATATCTAAGTTCAATGTATAAAGTTATTAACAAAGAAACTCGTTTTAAGTGTTTAATATTATTGTAAAAAAAATGTGATATAAAAACAAAGTTACTTTTTCAAAAAAAAAGTTAAAAAATAAGCCAAGTGTTTGCGACTTAGCATTATTTATCATTACAAAAAAATCGTTATAAATAAATTACAACAAAGCTCAGTTAAAAGATATTAAAAAAATATTATTAAAACAACCTTATTCAGATCAATTGTACTCTCGCAAATACTCTATTGAAAAATACAAGACAATTTTATACTCTCCATAAAAATAATAATATCAAGAAGTTTACGCCAAGTGCGAATGATTAATCATTTCAGTTTTTACTTTTATAAACGTATGTGGTTTTAGCTATGTATTTATAAATTAAGTATATTATTAATATATTAGTAATATAGTTATATATATTTAATAATATATTATAATTTGTAATATATTAATAATATATTATTAAATAAAATATAAAATAATCAGAGAAATAAAATAATGTTGAAAAAAATTATAATAACTTACACAAAAAGCACTTGGCGTGCCTTTTTTATAGGCAAATGGTTCTCTTATTTTAATAACTATCAAAATATTATATTAATTATCGATATGATATTAAAAAAAAGGCACGCCAAGTGTTTTTTGTGTAAGTTATTATAATTTTTTTCAACATTATTATATTTCTCTATTTATTTTATTCTTTATTTAATAATATATTACTCATATATTACTAATTATATATAATTATATTACTAATATATTAATAATATATTTAATTTATATTTATACCCACGCATAGGCGCCACCAACATGACAAAAATAAGATTGAAAGTTATAAGAACGCGATAAAACATTAACTCATTGAAACTTATAGCCAGGTTATTCAGAACTAATGCAAAATAAAAATCCGTATAAAAAATTATATTAAATTTCGCACAACAAGCTGTAGTTTTCTACTACAAAATTAATGATATCAGAAAAGTTGCGCCAAGTAATAAAAAAGCGCAAATTTCCTGATATCATTAATTTTATAGTAAAAAACTACAGATTGTTGTGCGAATTATTTAAGGGGGGACGTCTACTTAGAAACTTCAAAAATTTCGATTTTTAGGTTTTAACATTTTCTTAGAGTACAACATCTTAAAAATATTTCCTGAAAATTGCAAGTCATTTCGAGCAAGATTTACAAAGTTATAGGCGTCTAAACTACCTGCGGTCGGAGCGCTGAAGCGCCCTGAGCAAGTAGACAAGGCAGGGATGTATAATTCCTTTTTTTGTGAGATCTCTTGTACTCTGTGAAGGTAAAAGGTTATATGGAGGCTCCATCTCTGCGTGCATTAGTAAAATATAACAATATCCACGAGGCTAACATACCTAAAATTTAGAGGTTAGAAGTTGTTTTCGTTGTACACCAGAGGAGTTTTGCTCAGTGTCGCAGTTATATTAACCGTCATGGGACGTACGAAAGGTTCAAGATACTTGAGAGTAACTAACAACATTAGATTATCCAGAAATAAGAAGCGAAAGCAGCCTAAAAGTAAAAATGAATTGGAGACTGACGAAGATACTTATAGTACATCTGCAAAGAAATTGAAAATAAAGAAGGATATTGTGGTGCCGCAAGATAATAATATTGAATACAGGATTCTAAATTTTGTAACAGTATTTACTGCAATTTCGAATTATGTAAAATGCAAAGAGTGTAATGGAGATGTGAAGTTTGTAACAGCGAGCACGCGAGGTTTCGGATTCCGATTAGTGATAGAATGCAATACGTGCGAATCTAAATTAATTCCTTCCTGTCCTTACATCGGAACAACATACGAAATTAACATAAGATTTATATTTACAATGAAAGTTCTCGGCCTTGGGCTTGAAGGTTGTCAAAAATTCTGCGGCCTAATGGATATGCCAGTTTTTTTCTTACAGCACATACGATCGTAAAATAAATTCATTTCTTTGCCGAAAGTGTTTGCAAAATAATTCTGAAAATTGCTGTAGAAGAAGAAAGACAAGAGACATGCAAAGCTAAAGACATCGAAGAAACATCAGAATTAATAATTTCCGGAGACGGAACATGGAAAAAACGAGGTTTTATCTCTCTCTACGGTGTTTCATCAGTTATTGGATACAGCGGGAAGGTTCTCGATGTTCTTGTTAAAAGCTCTTATTGCAAACTATGTAAATTCTGGAGTAATAAGGAAGGTACTTGTGAAGTCGATAATTGGCAGAAGTCACATGAATCTGAATGTTCAGTAAATCATGAAGGATCGGCGGGAAGAATGGAAGTTGACGCAATCACGGAAATGTTTAAACGTTCCGTATAAAACTACAACGTGAAATATATTAATTACTTTGGTGATGGAGATTCGAAAACTTATACGGGTATTGTAAATGCAGCACCTTACGACGATGACACCGATATTATTAAAAAAGAATGCATCGGCCATATACAAAAAAGAATGGGAACTCGATTACGACAATGCAAAAGAAAGATAAAGGGACTTGGCGGCAAAGGAAAACTTACAGCGAAAATGATCGATAAGTTTATTACGGACTGGCTATTCGTCGACACTGTGATTCTGTTGAAGAAATGAGAAAAGCAATTTGGGCAACGTATGATCACTATAGTTCGACCGATGAAAATCTTACACATAATAAATGCCCATCTGGAGTGGAGTCATGGTGTAGCTGGTAGCGTGCTTCTGCGAACGGCGAGCTTGCTTCTTTCAAGCACGACTACAACGCTTTTCCTGCAGATATGTTAGCTGCGATAAAACCTATCTATGAGAGTCTCAGCAGTGATACTTTATTGGAAAGATGTGTCGGTGGATTTAATCAAAATAATAATGAGAGTTTCAATCAACTCATTTGGAAAATAAGTCCAAAAATTTATCACAGCGGATCACTCGTCGTAGAATTAGCAGCCTACATTGTGACTTGCATCTTTAATGAAGGCACTTCTTCATTATTAAAGATCCTTCAAGGTATGGGAGTTAGTTGTGGGCCAAACGCTCATTTGTATGCTGCGAAAAAGGACGAAGAGCGGATAATGGAAAGTAACATCCGCGCACAACAAAGCACGCGCGAGGCAAGACAGCATCGTAGGCAGATGCAGATCGAAAATTTGGAAGCAGCAACTGATGCAGAGGGATCACTATATGGGTCAGGAATTGATGATTCCATGTAAGTTAAAAAATTAATTTGTTATTTAAATGTAAATATGACATACAACTTTAAATGCGTTTTTCTCGAAATCACATTTTCAATATCAGTAACATAACTAAAAGACCAGTCGACCGATTTCCCTCTATCTTTGTAGACTTATTTAAAAGATAAAAATCTAAAATCCAACGGAAGGTTTTTCTTTTTTTTTGTTTACTTATTTTTTTATACACGAAAAACAAGCGATTTTTTAGCCAGGAAACAATATTTCAAGTTTACATCTCCGCCATTTTGTTCAAAATCAATTTTTCAAAAATCTGCCTCGTTAGGTTTTAGATAATCTAATATATAATGTAAAAATTTTCGTGTTTTTCATTTCAGATAATCCTGCTTGGAGCTAGAGTGGTCACCGCAAAAAAAGAACGTTCGCAGCATAGCTTATATCACACTTATTTTTCATTATTTCTTAATAAAAAAAATACTGTAAAGACTTGAAAATATATATTTTGCAATGGGCTATTTCTTATTTACAACAACCTATTAGTTGTTTAAAAAAAATTCTTAAAAAGACCTATATTTCTTAGTCTTCTAGGTAAGCGTCCCCCCTTAATATAATTTTTTATACTGATTATTTTACATTAGTTTTTTGTAAGGAGCGCAAAAACTCGGCGCTGTTTTTACCTTTTTTTAAAAGGTAAGTTTTTTAGAATATCGCTCATTTTTGTACAAGGGCTATATTGAACATGACAATAGATATAAACTAATCAAAGAGAAACGTATACATAATCGCGTCCATACAATAATAGCCTTTCATTCACGACTTACGTATTATATTTTTCTCTGTCGTGCTTTATGTCAACATATAACTCTCGAATTCCTATTTTCTCATCAACGTTGCGATTTCAAGACCGCGCACAAAAGCATTTTTCCCCCTTCACTTATGCATATAGAGCGTTCTGCCTATCCATGTGACGATCGTCATCACATGAATAGACAAAACAGTCTGTGCGCGTAAGTGGAGGGAGAAAAGTTCTTGCGTGTGCGGGCTCGAATCACTACTTCTCATTGGCATTATATAGGGTGTATCAGATCATTCGTGCCACCTCCTTTATTCGGCAACCGAGTGTCGTACAAAGATGAACAAAAAATTTTTATAGGAAATCTTATCCATAAAATCAATTGGTGCTACTACGATTTTCCGGAAAAAATTGGAAGTGACCGAAACCGAAGAAAACTTCAAAATTTTAAATAGGAACATATATCGAATGTGATATCACTCAATAGGTCTCTTCAAAATAAACAACTTTCGTTAGAAACATTTTTTGTTATTTCAACCAAGAAAAATAAAAGAAACAAATATTTCAAATATGTTAACACGTGTTTCAATCCTTTTATTAGCCCTTGTTTTTCAGATCAAATATATAACGTGAAAATGTGAAACGTGTTAACGTATTTGAAATTTTTATTTTTTTAATTTTCTTCAGTTAATAGTTGAAATAACAAAAAAATGTTTCTAATAAAAGTTGTTTATTTTGAAGAGATCTATTGAGTGATATCACATTCTATACATGTTCCTATTTAAAATTTTGAAGTTTTCTTCGGTTTTTTTCGATCATTTCCATTTTCCAGAAAATCATAGTAGCACCAATTGATTCTATGAATAAGGTTTCTTATAACAATTTTTTGTTCATCTCCGTATGACACTCGGTTGCCGAATAAAAGAAGTAGCACGGATAGTGTGATATCCCTGTATATCCTGTATATCGATCTATCAACCGATAGTTTATCTCTTTTGTTACGCCATCCCACGGAATAAGATTCAGATACACAATTCCTCTTGTAGCGCCACTCCACGGAACAAGGTTCAGGTGCACAATTTTCTGACAATTCGTGATCATGTAATATAATCTGGCTATTTCCGATTTTAAACTAGAAATCTAGATTTTAGAAGACACAAAGAGCAAAAGTAGAGTTTTATTAAGTAATATAACCCCGAAGAATCGAGACTACTCAGAAATGCATCGGTTTTGTAGTTATAGCGGAATACATAATCTTGCCTCCGCTCAACTAGTTGGTTCACGTAAGATAACATGGCCGTTCAGATCAGGGACGTAAACACTTGCAGGTCCTTTGCGGGCCCTGCTTTTGCGCTTAAAACTCGGCGCTCAAAACACGTCCGTGTTTTTTGATTAACAAAAATAATTGGAAATAGAATCGAAGCATGAAAAAGTACCTTGGACATAAAAACACATTGCAAAAATCAATTTTGCAATAAATTGTTATAAACAAATTGCAAAAATCAATTTTGCAATAAATTGTTATAAACAAATTAATAAGTATTAACTGTAGAATAAAACTGATTACGTCAATCGATCCTACGGAAAAAAATACAAAAGAAACATATGACTTTTTGTCATATCGTTCTTCGTTTATGCAAAAAAAATAAATGTTATGGCTGATTACAACTTGCTCCAATCCATGGTTAGAACAATAAGATTAGCAAAAGCAATAAATAAAATGGATTCAAATATAAGAAAACCATTACGAACATAAAAAGTACGTTGCAAAAATAAATTTTACAATAAATTGTTAGAAACAAATTACTAAATATTGGCTATAGAACATAACTGATTGCGCCAATCGATCTTATCGAAAAATACCAAAGAAACATTTATGTATATATGTAACTATTTGTTACATTGTTCTCCATTTATGCAACAAAAAATATTTTACTATACATGATAATTTATTGAGAAAAATTTATTTTTACATGCTCCGGTTCTATTTCCAATTATTGAATTTTTGTTAATCTTAATTGTCTAGCTATAGGCTTTAATAAGTTAATGTTTTACCGTGTTCTTATAACTTTCAATCCTATTTTTGTCATGATAGAGGCACCTAGAGTATAATAGGAGATTTCAGAAAACTAGATACGCTATCTATTAGCGTATTGCAATTTCTGGTTTGTTTTGGACCGTGAACTTTTGGGTAGCTTAAAACTTTAGATATCTACTAAATAAATTCTATTGTTAAATATATGTATTATGCATAACGACATAATTTTTCAACATGACGATAATTTTAACGTCAAGTTTAAATGTTATTTTATATATTGTAAAAGTCATATTGTTTTCATTTAGTTTTAACATGAGAATTCGCTAAACATGTATCAAAACATTTTACAAATTTTATTTTAGATATCGATGTCTGGTTTCCGGACCTGTCATCACACTGCGGCGGTTGAAAGAAAAACGCACTATTACCTATGCTTATATCGCTGCGCTGTAAAGTCTTGCCGTACCGCGCTGAAGTAAGACGTAGGAGCGTAGCGATATAAACACAGGCAGTGGCGCATTGTTCTTCCAATCACCACGCGCTATATTACTGAGCCGCGCTGCGGCTCGAGCGCTTCTTTCTCTACAATTCAGCATGCGTTTTTCCTTAATCTTTTACGATTAATTCCTCAACTATTACTGCGAATATCGCAAATCGGTATAGAACTTTTATGTTCACCTCAATCTATTTCACGTTTCCACAAAAAATGCGGAGGAAAGTCTGGGCAAATGAACATATAGAGTCCAATCACATAAAAGAAGTGATTTCTTGTGCAAAAATAAGTAAGGAATTTAAAAAGGAAAATTTCATAAAAAACTTTGTTTTTAAGAAAATAAACGTTTAATATTTACTGAATATGTTTCTATACTCGCTCTGTTTGAATCAACTTACATTTATTGTTTCATAAATCACTATTTTTATTCATATTTGTATTTGTAAATGATGTCGGAATGATTTGATAAAGAAATTGTTGCCTGTAATCACAAACTAAAGATTTATCTTTGGAGATTTACCAAATATAAAAAAAGAATTATATCAGAGTATTCTCTATTAATGTATTTTGACATTATGATAGTTTAATAAAGATGAATAGTTCGGATAAATAAGATTGTAGAAATGATAGAAATTAATTGTCTTAATATCATTGTATTTATAAACATAAGTATGAATAGAAATAGTAATTTATAGGGAAATAAATAAATGTATAGACAATAATTCTATTATCATTTATAAAGCTGTGAGATACACAATCAAACGCTAAATATTGTGCTAAATATTTAAAAAAATCAAGAAAAATATGAAATATGGAAGAACATTAAATCTGATCCACAACAAATATAATAAGGTTTTAGCTTTTTGCTTTAAGGCCTATATTTTCTGGCAAAAAACATTTTGTGCGCTAATTTAACAACTGTAATCTGGTCAGCTTACTTTAGAAATTATGATTTCGGCATAACAGAAAATGTTTTTAGTTAAAAATTACATCAGTTTTGAATTTAGAGCAAGCTACAAGTTTGTTACATCTGTTATGAGCATAAGGCTCCTGGCTAGTCGTTGTGACTGTCCTTGTTTAATGACTTTAGAAGCGAGAAAACGCATGTCAAGATTTCGTCCGTTATATTTTTAATTGAAAAGATATATCCACAAAATGGCATTGATGGACGATTTAGCACACTTGTAAAATTGTCCGAATACTTTCCTTTTGCTCGAACAATCAATAAATAGTCGCAAAATTAAGATTGACATAATTTTGAGAAAAGAGATTAAAACGGAAAGTTCCATATCAAGTTAATTTTGCGATTATTTATTGATTGTTCGAGCAAAAAAAATGTTCGGAATTTTTCAAGTGTACTAAATCGATCACTAATGTCACTTTGTGGATATATCTTTTTAATTAAAAGTATAACGGACGAAATCTTGACATGAGTTTTCTCGCTTCTGACGTCATTAAACAAGGACAGTCACAGCGACTAGCCAGAAACTTTAAGGCCTTAACATATTGCATGAGGTAAACTTTTAGCTTTTTGCTCTAAGTCCGAAACAATAACGCAATTTTTAGCAAAAGGCGGCCATTCCATGCTACCAGAAATTATAATAACTTAAAACTTAGGAACTGTAATGTCTAGTAATGTGGGAAACGTCTTTTGTCACAAATTAGCAACAGTTTCGGGTTTAGAACACAAAGCTAAAGACATCATTTATTGTGAATCGAGACTTTATAGTATTACACACATTGTATTTCAAGCATTAATATTCTACAAATTAGAAGTTATTCTTCAATTTTTTTCATATTTATCGCTTAATAGTATCTAACGTTTGAATTTTATTGACCTAATTTAAATATTGTTATTTTGACAATATAGACTCATCCAACACACGTAAATTATACGTGTATTCAGTGAATATTCAAAATTTATTTATGAAAAGAAAAGAAAACAAAAATTTTCCTGAAGGCAAAACCTTATAGGAAAATATTTCATTTACTATATTATCAATATACTTTTATATGAAAGGGCAGGTCATTTCTTTCACAGTTCTGTAACAATTATGACCGAATCTTGTATAAGTATATAAATAATAAAACTCATATTAGGAATATCTCATAATTATTAGAATTTACTTTATCTTAGTTTTATTAACTTCTTATTTAGTTTTACTTAGTTTATTTCAATTTTCTAAAGTGTAAAATAAAAATGAATATCTGAAAAATTTGTAAAATTCAAGTTTTATCACTCATTAGTAACTGAAGAAAATTTACTCACTTGTTCATAAAATCTTCCCTATGAAATACGTCAATTATTGGAGGATAACGTTTCAAAAATATGGTGAGAGTTGATGACAAATCCAAAATATACAATATTAATCCCTCCAATTTATGCAATGTCATTTTAGCAGCACATCCTTTCCCTGAGAGTGCCACTGCTTCTATTGCATCAGTTGGGCAATCTTCAAATTTTTGTTCCACATTTTTGAGAGCCTGTATTAGTAAGAATTCTGACTAATTAAATATTACTAATCTACAATTACAAAACTACAATTTCATATTTAACTTTTGGTCATACAATAATTATTAGTGTCATATATTTTCAAATAATTTTTTTATTAAATTTTTTATTATTTTAAATTAAATAATTAATAATACAACCAATAAAATTTAATATTGTTATTTTATGATTAATATTAGTAAAATTCCTTATATTATTAATAGTATCAAAACTACTATCAAAACTATGTGGTCATCGAACTACTATCAAAACTAGAAGCTAATAAACTTCTTATTTTTATTAAATATAATGCATTACCTTTATAAGGCATGGCACAGACTTCTCTAGATCATCATTGTACAATGGCTGCATATTAAATATGTTATGTAAAATTTTTTCTATAAGTTTGTTATTTTCTCTACCATATAGTTGACATAAATCAAATATAATAGGTACTGTAAAGATGTAATTGTTATATAATAAATTTCCCATGTAAGAGTATTGCATATGTTCTGTTAAACTTTCTTCGTTTGTGACAAGACGAACAAAGACCATAAGTACATTGTAACGAAGCTTTTCTAATGCTTCAAGCATTTCTGGTATAGCAGGAAAAGTTTCTAATGCATAAAAGGGTGGGGCTTCTTGTAAAAAAGATACTAATGTATCTATAATTGAAGTATTATATATAATATTAGACCAGAATCTATAAAAAGAAAATAAAGAAAACTATATTATAATTGTATGATATATTAATGTTACAGAAATCACACAAGTACAATACCGATAAAATGGAAGATTCAGTAGCCAGATTAAATCTTCAATAATATAGTTAACAAGTTCTATCCAATATTCCTTATAACCCACAATTTCTGAACCATCTTCTTTATATATCTCTGGTGCTTCATAATGTAAAAAATAACGCTTTTCTGTCCACTTTGCATTCTATAATTTAATATTTAACGTGCATATATGCATATTAAACAAATGATATATCTAAAATACCTATTTTTTAAATCAATTATAGAAAATAATTAAATTATAGTTATATTAAAATTATAATTGTGGGAAATATATACATAAATTAATTTTTACATAATTAAAAAATTTAATGTACCAATGTTTTTACATCAACCACTCCATCACTTTTAATGTTTAATTTCAGCATTTCCAGTGGGGTGCATGAAGGATTCTGTTAATATAAAAAAAAGATGTAAGTCTTCCTATAAAAGTTACATATTTAAAGAGGTTTCATAATTACAAATCAGCTCACTTTTAATGCTACACTACAATTTCAAAAGTCAATTACCTTGTAGAATTTCATGATTTAATACAATGCATTGTCTCCGCCAAACAAAAATATGTGTTCGCTGCCAATTATCAATTTGACAAAGGAAATATGTTGAAACGTTTCTCTCTCTCTCTCTCCGTGTTGCAGACCTGGCTCGGGCTGCGTTCCGAAATACTGCTAGTACTGAAAATAGTTTGGGAGCGTCCCGATTGACCACGGTACGATTGGACACAACCAACCGATGAAAAGAATTATCTAGTGAATTACTAGGTCGAACCAATCATTACAATCTGTGTCCAATCGTATCGTGGTCAATTGGGTCACCCGTGGGAATTCAACTTTAATGACGTAGGTGCGTTCGTCTTGTACATTTTTTCGCTTATAGTGTTAACGCTTACATAGGCCAATATTCATAGTCAAATCTTATTACAAAATCATCTTAAGTAATGTCTTAAGATGTGAATACGGCTCTGTGATTGATTCATGACATCTTAAGACAGTATTTAAGATGATCTTAAATATAAAGTTAACGGCACACGATGCTTGTTTTCATGCTGGATTGCTTGCTGGATGGAAATACTCTGTTCTGATTGGTGCATTTCTGAAGACGGACCAATCAGAATAAAGTATTTCCACCCAGCAAGCAATCCAGCACGAAGCAAGCATCGTATGCCGCTGGTTTAAGATTGGACTATGAATACCGGCCTATGTAATGGCTCCTGCACACAGGACGCGATAATGCTTGCCGGCGGAAGTCCGCGCGATAGCCAATCAATATGTTGTTTTTTCATAAGAGCTAGAAGGTTATTACGGAAAACAACATATTGATTGGCTGTCGCGCAAACTTCCGCCGTGCGGCAAGCATTACCGCGTTCTATATGCAAGAGCCATAAGCGTTAACGCTATAAGCGAAAAAGTGTACAAGACGAACACACCCTACGTCATTAATGGTGAAAGGGCTACCGAGTCTGCGTTCCGAAATTCAATGCCAATGCTAAAATTCAATACTTCAGGACGGGCAAACTGAAATGTAGTCGACGAGAATTATATTAGCGCCATCTGATAGTGACGGGGAAGAATTAAAACAATATGATGGCTTTTCCGCTAAATTTAAATGAGCTTTCTCTTATCTTCATGTATAATAATTTTATTTTTCGTTTTAAATATTAAAAAAATATTCTTATATCAATTACATGTATAAAGAATAGCATGGCAATATATTGTTGCGTCCTTGTTTTCGTCGTCGCTTCGATTTCGTCGTCCGGTACGGTGATCGACTCATGAATTGAGTAACATCGTTGTGCTGCGGTTCGACAACGGAAAGGCGTCGCATAGGAAGATTGGTTTCTATAAACAAGCCGGAACGAAGGTGGATCTCCTCGAGCTGTCAAGTTTCGCGGTCGTGCTTTGACAGCTAGATCGGTCCGCGATTCTATTTCACAAACAGCGAGTTACAGATCTTGTGTCCTTTGAGTTCTTGTTGAGTTCTTGTTATCGTTCTGAGTTATTAAAGTGTTCCTGTTCCTAAAGCACGTGTTTATTCCTTCGCGACGCGCTCCGCGAGTGACGGCATTAGCCGCGATGTCCCGAGGACATAACATTTTGGGGACTCGTCCAGGATCTACCGAACTGTAGTACGAGAGATGGAAAACGAATGGCAGGAAATGGAAGTTGACGTGCGGACGCGCAAGAGGTTGCGACTCCAAGAAACAATTCCGCCTTCTCTTTCGAATGAGCCGTCCACTGAGACTGCTGCGCTTCAAATCGCCATGCAGGAGATCCGCCAGCTACAAGCGGAGCGTCTGCAGCAACGCGAGGAGTATGAGATGTAGCTCCACCCTTACGAAAAAATATTATAAGGAAACTATTGGAAAACTACTGATTGATGAAAATATACTATTGTTTCAACTATTGAAAAATTATATCAAAACTGTTTGTAAAATTAGTGAATAAATTTTTTAATAATGCTATAATAATTACGCAATAGTTTTTTAATACTTTTCAATAGTTTTTCAATAATATTTCAACGGTTTTCCTATACTGTTCTCAATAGTTTTTTCATTAATATTTTTCCGTAAGGGCAACAGCGGAACGATGCTTCGGAGAATGGAAGAGCGGTTGCGTTTCAACGAAGGAGTCACGAACCAGCTAAGCCAATTCAATAATATTCCGACTTACGCGGATGATAGAGAAACTTTGTTGCGTCGTGCTTCGCGCGTTGAACAAATCGGTCTCAAAATAAAGCCGGACAGTTATGACGGTAGTGCTCCGCTTCGCGAGTTTATGAATCAATTTAATTTAATCGCTTGGGCAAATGAGTGGTCTGATTCTATAAAAACGGTAGTGCTTGCGTCGTGTTTAAGGGGAAAGGCGCGTTCTGTTCTGGATGGAGTTCTGGAAATAGAAAATTAGGTATGAGTTCTGGAAATAGAAAATAAGGCATGAGGAATTAAAATCGCGTTTGGAATTGTTTTGGAGAAGAGTATTTGATCCAAGTATATTACACTCAGCTCACTAACCGGAAACAAAAATTCTCGGAAGATTTAGCAACTTTGAGCGCGGATTTAAAGAGGTTATCGCGCTTGGCTTATCCAGAGTGCTCAGAGGAGATAAGAGACAAGATAGCTTGCGCTCAATTCGTTGCCGAGTTGTCTGAGGGATTTATAAAACAAACTCTACAATTAGAAAACGTAACTTCCTTGAGATCCGCGATTGAGAGAGCAATGGCTATTAAGGCCATACAAGAAAATAATTTTGGTAAAAAGGACGGAGAAAAAAAGTTTTATTTTAAAAACGAAAAGAGGAATTTTGAAGATGAAAAGGAGGAAAAGGGAAATAGAAATTTTAATAAAAATAAATTTTCTAGTAAATTAAAAAAGAGACCGAACGTGAAAAAGAATGTTGGCAATGTGGGACGCAGGGGCACTACCGATCGGAATATCCGGCATTAAATAAAAGGGAAACGTAAATTAGTCGAGCTTAGCCGGGCGAGTTCGATTTTAAAGATGAATGGCCCGAAAGAAACTTATGTATATGATACCTTATAATGTAAGATATCTTTCGGAGAATAAAATAAAGAAAAGTTTTTTTAATTATATGAGAAAGGCAAATGGGGAAATTTGCAAATTTTAAAATTGACACGGGTTCAGATGTGTCAATTTTGAACAGTTGTTTCGTAAAGGAGTTTAATCAGCGGATAAAGATAAAAAGATGTTATTTGAAGTATCCGACAGGCGAAACAATAGAAATTCATTTTAAAATAATAGTCAAGGTGGAATTAGGGAAATTTTCTGTAGAAGTTCCAATGTTAATTGCGGACATTTTTGATGATTGCATTTTGGGAGACGATTTTCTTGAAAAAATAAATTTGAAAAAAATTTTTGATCCTTATTTTTAAAAAATTACTCAGAATGATGAAGAATTTCTTTGTTCTCGTATGAGATTTTCAGAAAAAGTTCCTCCTTTCTTAAAAAGTTTGTTTGAGGAAGATTCCAAAAATTTGAATCTCGAACAAAAAGATATTTTTGCGTAATTTTTAAGTGAGTTTCGGGATGTATTTTTAGAGGAAATCATTACAGAAATTGTGATATATTAGAACACACTATCAAAATAGAAAATTCGGCACCGATTAAGCAACCTCCACGAAGAGTGCCTTTACATTTGAGAAAGGAAGTTAACCAAATTATTAAGGAAATGAGACTACAAGGTGTAATAGAAGAATCTAAAAGTCCTTGGGTCTCTCCAGTCGTATTAGTGAAAAAAAAGATGCTTCGCTAAGATTTTGTGTGGACTTTCGGAAAATAAATGCGGTAACGAAGAAGGATTCTTATACTTTACCGAGAACTGAAGATGTTCCCTTAGAAATATACTAAGAAATACTGAAAAATTATTAGTGATTAAATATTATCAATAATTCAGCAATTTTTTGGCCAGTACTTAATTTCTGGTAAATACTGATAATAAAATCACTGTTAAATATTGATAGTAATCAAATACTGAGAATTATTGTGCGAAGGTGAAAAAAGAGAAAAACATAATATTTAAAAAAATATACTTATATATTCCTAATTTTCTCATGTCTCATAAACCACTAGGTATCGAAGGTTGTCAACACACCCCAAACTTTCGTGAATCCTTCAGCGATAATTTCGATCCGAAGCAGTATACCACCGGTCATCCATCCATGTCCTGACTGCGTTAAACTGTTGCTTAACCTGACGATCAAGCGTGCATGCGGTGACAAATGATTCCAATGATGTTCTTACAATTTATGCTTAATTATTAATGTATCCTTATAGTGTTCATATAATAACATATTATATTATAACATATCTACCAAACATCAAATAATATTAGGTGTACAACTTTGCTTTCGCCGTTTTCCTATAGATGGCTTTAGCGGTAAGTGGTGAAATAAATAGATCATAGACGTCATACAATAAACTTGGGCATCTGTCAACACAACCTCATAGAAACATTAGTCGATTTGTGTCTGCATCATAAAGTTATTCTCGATTGAAAATGTCAGTTTACGAGCCAAATTCTCGTCATTTGCGGGAAGTTTTAATTTTCTGCTTCAATATGAAGAAATCTGCGGCTGAGGCTCATCGAATGCTCTCAAATACTTATGGTGAGGCCGCTATTAGTGAAAGAACGTGTCGTGAGTGGTTTCAACGCTTCAAGAACGGTGATTTTGACGTCGAAGACCGACATAGCGGTGGAAGAGAAAAGGTTTTCGAAGATGCAGAATTAGAGGCATTACTTGATCAAGACTCGTGTCAAAATCAAGAAGAATTGGCACGATCATTGGGGGTGACTCAATAAGCCATTTCAAAACGCCTCAAAGCCATGGGAATGATTCAGAAGCAAGGAAATTGGGTGCCGTACGAATTGAAGCCGAGAGATGTTGAACGGCGTTTGTTTGCTTGTAAACAGCTGCTTGAAAGGCAAAGACGGAAGGGATTTCTGCATCGCATTGTGACTGGGGACGAAAAATGGGTTCATTACGATAACCTCAAGCGCAGAAAATCATGGGGAGTTCCCGGCCATGCTTCTACGTCGACGGTCAAACCGAATATTCACGGCTCCAAGGTCATGCTCTGTATTTGGTGGGACCAGCTCGGCATAGTGTATTATGAACTGTTAAAACCCACTGAAGCAATCACAGGCTAT